CGGAAGACGGGGGAGACGCGAAGCAGCTTTTCTCGCCCCAGAGGATGCGGGCGGCGGGACCGCGGCACGTCTGGGCGGTCCCGCCGCCCGCGTCCTCCGGAGCGAGAAAAGCCCCGTTCGTAAGTACGGATCCAACATAAGTCGGATCCGCATAACCTGGGGACTGCCTGTAATGATTTAGTCTCATAAATTCATTAATGTTCGTGAAGAACTCAGATCAAAAAAGCCCATGAGAAAATTAACAGCGTTTGGGTGACTTAAATGAGGCAGGAGTCCCTTGGAATAAGCATTAGGTGAGCATGTAGGTGAGGGGTGGGCAATAATTTTAGATGGGGGGGCACTTCATTAATTTTTTAAGTCAATGGGCGGGTCCAGGACACTTCCATGCTCCCCCTCCCACATACCCTGATTGGCCTGGGAGTGGGGGAGCACGCGAAGTCTTTGCCCCCGCCCTCCGCTTGCCTACAGAGAACTGCTAGCTGTTCTGAGCAGCTGGCGGTTCCGTCTAGGTACCCACCCCCTTGTAGGTCGGGAGGAGACTTCGCGAGCTCCTCCCACCCCAGGCCAATCAGGTCCTGGAGGTGGGAGGAGCATGCAAAGTCTCTCACTCCCTGCCTCCACCCTGCAAGGGGCGTGCAGTACTTAGAGTGAAAGCTCCGCATTCCCCTTGCAGAGTGGAAAGAGACCTCACGTCCTGCCCCGCCCTGCAAGGAGCGTGCAGTGCTTTCACTCTGAGCGCCATGTGCCCCTTGCAAGGCAGGAGGAGACTTTGCGCACTCTCCCATCCCCAGGCCAATTAGGTTCGACTTTACCTTCTTTTAGTGTAGTTTGTTTGGATATAATAGTGGTATGTGTCCCATCTATGTTAAACCAAAGAAGGTTCCCAACCTTCAGGGATCACTATGAAATGCTTATTTTACGTGAATTTTCCAGCAACACTTTTAACTTGGAAAGAAAAAAAAAGCTTTGTATTTAATCCTCACAGTGTAATAGATGAAACAAAAAACAGGACTATGTAGCACTTTAAAGACTTATAAGATACACCAGACTAACAGGACTACATTTCTATCAGTGTAATAGACCTGACTTCAATTCAAAACTGTCTTAAAGAAAGTCACATTGGACATCTTCACAATGTGCTTTCAAAGCAGTAACACAGAAAAAGTGTAGGATGCATACTTGAGATAACTGTGTAGTGAGTGAAAGCTTGGGTTGAAGTTGCTCTGAACAATTAAGGAGAAAAACTCTGTAGTTCATATCATAGAAAATTGTTCTCCTTCCAGATTAGTAAAGTTTAAAATCTAACCGGAAGCAGAACAGAATTTTTAAAATTTTCGTTCTTATTTTAAACAGCCAGTTTATCTTTACAGCTGTAGTCCCATGCCCCCCCTCTCAACACAGACAGGAGGCTGGTCTGGCTGGACTAGGCCCACTGCATTCACTGCACCATGGGTGGGTGGGGAGCTGATCCAGCCCAACCATACAGGAGCCTCCTCCCCAACCCCCCAGCCCCCCAGCTCTGCTTGTGGTGTGGAGCAGTAGGCCAGGCCAGGCTGGAGCAGCCCCCACCTGTGTTGGGAGGGGAGTGCTGCAGCCCAGTCAGCCTACCGGTAACTATGATGTTTAACAGTTAACTGGTTAACCGATTAACCACTGACATTCTAGTAGATAGTGTGTATTTCCTACTTTGTTGTTCTGGGGAATAATTGTAAAATGCTTAGAAGATAAAAAGGGCTAAATATCAATATACAGCAGGTGTCTGAACTGGAATGCAGTCTCTAACTTTGCAGATATATCTCATTTTATTGTACGGAGGGTATAATATTCAGGTCTCTGAAATTTGCAGTAGGGTCAGTCCCTCAATCCCACATTTAGGTGTACCCAGGCAAACCCCTGCATCTATGTGGAGTCTCATTGACTTCAACGGGACTCTGTGTCAGTTCATTGAAGGATGAGCACCTTAGTTGTAAAAGCCCTCAGTCTCATCCTCCCTTTCCTCTAATAAGCCTGTAGCTGAGAAATGTATGTATATATTTATATATTTTGTAGTCCAAGAAAAAGAAGAAGATCCAGTCCTCAGAAAAGGGAGCATCAAAAGACCACTTCTTTACTGAAAAAGACAAGTTGCCAGAGGAAGAGGAAGGTAATGTATGTGCAGATCGCTCAGTTGGCAGATTTGTATTGCCAGAAAGAAGTGAGAATTATGGTGATGAAATATTTTCATAGAACAGATGTTGTTTGGTAGTTGGTAGACGATAAGGTCATTGCAGAGAAACGAAATGAATTCTTTGCTTCAGTCTACCTGGCTGAGAATGTTAAGGGGATTCCCACACCTGAGTCATTCTCTTTAGGTGACAAATCTGAGAGATTGTCCCAGATTGAGGTGTCATTAGAGGAGGTTTTGGAACAAATCAATAAATTTAACATTAACAAGTCACTGGGACCGGTTGGCATTCACCCAAGAGTTCTGAAAGAACGCAAATGTCAAATTGCAGAACTATTAACTGTGGTTTGTAACCTATCCTTTAAATCAGCTTCTGTACCTAAAGACTGGAAGGTAGCTAATGGGACGCCAATATTTAAAAAGGGCCCTAGAGGTGACCCTGGCATTTACAGACCGGTAAGTCTAATGTCAGTACCGGCAAATTAGTTGAAACTATAGTTAAGAATAGAATTGTCAGACACATAGATGAACATAATTTGTTGGGGAAAAGTCATCATGGTTTTTGTAAAGGGAAATCATGCCTTACTAGTCTACTAGAGTTCTTTGAGGGAGTCAACAAACATGTGGATAAGAGGGATCCAGGCGATATAGTGTATTTAGATTTCCAGAAAGCCATTGACAAGATTCCTTACCAAAGGCTCTTAAGTAAAGTTAATTGTCATTGGATAAGAGGATAGGTCCTCTCATGGACTGATAATAGGTTAAAAGACAGGAAACAAAAGGTAGGAGTAAATGGTCAGTTTTCAGAATGGAGAGAGGTAACTAGTGATGTCCTCCAAGGTCCCTCCTGGGACCAATCCTATTTAGTCTATTTATAAATAATTTGGAAAAAGGGGTAAACAGTGAGGTGGGAAAATTTGCATATGATACTAAACTGCTCAAGATAGTTAAGACCAAAGCAGACTGTGAAGAGCTTCAAAAAGATCTCACAAAATTGAGTGACTGGGCAGCAAAATGGGAAATGAAATTTAATGTTGGTAAATATAAAGTAATGCACATTGGAAAAAATAATCCCAACTATTCATACAATATGATGGGGACTAATTTAGCTAGAGATCTTGGAGTCGTTATGGATAGATCTCTGAAAACATCCACTCAATGTACAGTGGCAGCCAAAAAACAAATGGAATGTTAGGAATAATTTAAAAAAGGATAGAGAACAAGACAGAGAATATCTTATTGCCTCTATATAAAACCATGGTACGTCCCTATATTGAATACTGCATACAGATGTGGTCGCCTCATTTCAAAAAAGATATATTGGCATCAGAAATGGTTCAGAAAGAGGCAACATAAAGGATTAGGGGTTTGGAACAGGAGCATATGAAGAGAGATTAAAAAGACTGGGACTTTTCATCTGAGAAGAGGAGAAACTAAGGGGGGATATGATAGAGGTCTATGAAATTGTGACAGGTATGGAGAAAATGAATAAGGAAAAGTTATTTACTTGTTCCCATAACATAAGAAAGAATTAAATGAATAGGTAGCAGGTTTAAAACAAACAAAAGGAAGATTTTCTTCACACAGCACAGAGTCAACCTGTGGAACTCCTTGCCAGAGGATGTTGTAAAGACCAAGACTTTAACAGGGTTTAGAAAATAACTAGATAAATTCATGGAAGTTAGGTCCATCAATATTTATTAGCCAGAATGGGTGGCAATGGTGTCCCTAATCTCTGTTTGTCAGGGGCTCGAAATGAGTGACAGGAGAGGGATCACTTGATGATTACCTGTTTCTGTTCACTCCCTCTGGGGCAAGAATCAGGCTAGAGATAACGAGGGAATTGAGACTAGCAGAAGGGCATTGCTGGCACATGATGGCATATATTATATTGGTAGATGTGCAGGTGAATGAGCCAGTGATAGTGTGGCTGATCTGGTTAGATCCTGTGATGGTGTTGCTTGTGTATATATGTGGGCAGAGTTGGCACCAAGGTTTGTTGCAGGGATTGATTCCTGAGTTAGAGTTACTGTGGTGTGGTGTATAGCTACTGGTGAGAATATGCTTCAGGTTGGCGGGTTGCCTGAGGGCGAGGACTGGCCTGCCTCCCAAGGCCTGTGAAAGTGAGGGATCATTGTTCAGGATGCCAGCTATGTACATTGGCCAAACTGGACAGTCCCTATGCAAAAGAATAAATGGACACAAATCAGCTATTAGGAATGGCAATATACAAAAACCTGTAGGAGAACACTTCAATCTCCCTGGACACACAATAGCAGATTTAAAGGTAGCCATCCTGCAGCAAAAAAACTTCAGGACCAGACTTCAGAGAGAAACTGCTGAGCTGCAGTTCATCTGCAAATTTGACACCATCAGCTCAGGATTAAACAAAGACTGTGAATGGCTAGCCAATTACAAAGCAGTTTCTCCTCTCTTGGTATTCACACCTCCAGATCAGCTGCTAGAAGTGGGCCTCATCCTTCCTGATTGAATTTACCTCATTACCTCTAGCCTGATTCTTGCTTGCATATTTATATCTGCCTCTGGAAATTTCCACTACATGCATCTGACGAAGTGGGTCTTTGCTCACGAAAGTTCATGCTCCAATACATCTATTAGTCTATATAAGGTGCTACAGGACTCCTTGTCGCTTTTCAGATCCAGACTAAAACAGCTATCCCTCTGATTCTTGCATTACCATTGGGGTTAATGTCAAACAGGGATTCCTTGGAATGTAGAAGAAAAATAGGAAATTTCAAGGACTTCATTCAAACAAACTTTTGTTGTTTCAGTCAGTCTGAGCAGATAATGAGCTATTCCATACCCAGTGCAGAGACATCCTGGAAGAGGTAGGAGGGCAGCAAAATCAAAGGGTCAGATTCTGCCTTGATTGACAACTTGTGCCTGGCCCACTCACTTAACAGCGATTGCACAGCATATCGGTCAGGACAGCATTTTTGATTGCATATGGACAATCAACTCCGTGAGGGATCAGTGTCCCTGAGTGGATCTAATGAGCTAGTCAAGAACTAGGTTAGTAAACTATGTAAGAATTAGTGTTATTTCCAAATATTAAATAAATAATTTTCCTTCAGAGACCTGAGCCTAGAAGCTTCTGTATGATGGCTCACAGCAATGAGTCAAATTAATTGATAATTGAGACAGCAATAGAATAGTGCCCTTTTTGTTAGCTAATATTTTCATTGACACTGTTATCCAAAGCAATTATAAAACATTTATGGCATGTGGATCTGCTATGACATCTTCCCTGAGAAAGAGCATGTTGTGTGATTTGACATACATAAAGGGCAGTAAATTATATAGTGATATGTCAGCACATAGAACAAACAGCATTGCATTGTAGAGTTCTTACGTATTGTATTCTGAGTTTCTGAGAGTCAAAGGTACCTCAGGAATGGGCACATTCTAATGCTACAATACCTAGGATTGTACATGGTACCAGCTGCAGTGGTTGTATTTTGTATGTTTGGCCATTACCAAGATAGTTGTAACACTGATTTTATAATCATCACTGTATAGCATGTCTGTGAGCGTAATTTTTTTCTTTGCCTTGTAAACAATATGGGTCCTATGGGAAAGTTCTCATCCGCTTATAGCAACTAGCAGCATGGAGAGGGCAAACTTTGTTCTGTGTTGTAGGTGTTTGGCAGACCAAGATCAGTAGCCGAGAAAAAAGACACCTAAGGAAAGAACGTCTGAAACAAAAAGGTAAACCTCCCATATATGTTTACATGTATGTACAATATGTATTCCGGCTGGGTATCTTACTTCCTTTTTTCTCCTAGAGCCTGTTTACTTCTCAACTGCCTGCCAGTTTCCTTGTCAGTTTGCTCTTCCACAGTAAACAATTCCCATAATTTAAGCCATTTGCTAAGGAAAAGACAGAATTTTGGAGTTTCAGCTATTACCCCACGCTTTCATGAAAACCTACAAAAATGTTCTCAGGACTTCGAAAAACAATAGAGATTTACAGACAAGGTGAATAAGAGATCTGCAACAGTTAGGTCATTATTACCAATGCTAATTAAATAATTACCAATTCTAATTAAATAAGACTTTGCACCCACAACACCTCTCCTCTGGTGATCTCACAGTGCTTTCCATGGACCTAGGTAGGAAGGACCTATGTACTTACACTAATTATGTTCTTATTACTCTGGTATGTGAAAACAGGTCCTGAAATGTCTGCATTGAAAAACTTCTTAGCAGTTTAATTCTCTTCCCTAAATATATTAACACAAAGAAATCCTCAAAAGTAAATACATCAGAACATCTTAATGGCTGGAATTGCAATCCAAAGTGACACAAACATTTGTAGGAAAAGAGAGCCATGTTTTCGAAGGGGTACCACCTCACAGCGCACATGGGTGTTTTTCTAAAAGTGACGCTTGGGCGGAAATGACGAACTATGATCTGTACAGATATTTAGATGTGTTTGGGACCACGCTCTCTCCATCACTTGGGGTCTTTAAATCAAGGCTGGATGTCCTTATGAAAGGTATGCTTCCAAGGTGGCATTTTGGGAGTTGCTGAGCACTCTGGCTGCAATCCAGCAAAGCATGTAGGCCATGTACTTACCGTTACTCAACATGAGTAGCTCTATTTACTTCACTGTGACTTTTGTGCTTTAAGTTAAGCATGTGCTTAAATGTTTGCTAAGTTGGGGCTAGATTGCTAAGCAGGTACCATTCCTATTTCAATCACATGTTATTGGGCTATAGGAAATCCCTGAGAGAAATTCAGTAGCTTTATCTAGGCAGGAGGTTAGATTAAATTATTGCAATGGTCCCTTTTGTCATTAGAATATCGGAAGCTATGAAACAAGCCCTAATCCTGCTAAGTGCTGTTTGCAGATTCAGAGCAGGGAGGCCGCTGGGGCAGTGTATGATATGTGGAGGAGGAGTTAGAATCACTTGTGGCCCCTCCTCCCCACACAAAGAACCAGGGAAATGCTTTGTTGACTCTTAGGTTAAGTGTGAAGTGCTGTGGAAGTCCTTTGATGAAAGGCACTATGAAATCATCACCATCTTTTTTATTTAATAAAATTCCTTCCGAGTGCTCTTATATCCAGCAGTCTTGAAAATGCCAGCATTCAACAAAGTAAGTTTATTTTTCTTTTTCCACAAATGGTGCTCTAGATGCAGGAAGGAAACCTAAAGTTCCCTTTCTTTGTTTTCCTTTAGCACTATGTGCCCATATTTCTTGAGTTCATTCTTTCTTGTCTGGAAGAATGGACAAGGCTCCTTTGAAATATCGGCATAGAGAGTATGCTTATTAAGTTTGCAGATGATACCAAGCTGGGAGGGGTTGCGACTGCTCTGGAGGACAGGGTCATAATTCAAAATGATCTGGACAAATTGGAGAAATGGTCTGAGGTAAACAGGATGAAGTTTAATAAGGACAAATGCAAAGTGCTCCACTTAGGAAGGAACAATCAGTTTCACACATACAGAATGAGAAGCACTTTAAAGACTAAGAAGATGGTTTATTAGGTGATGAGCTTTCGTGGGCCAGACCCACTTCCTCAGATCAAATTGTGGAAGAAAATTGGCATGACCATATATACCAAAGGGGTATATGATCTGAGGAAGTGGGTCTGGCCCACAAAAGCTCATCACCTAATAAACCATCTTCTTAGTCTTTAAAGTGCTGCATAGTTCTGTCGTTTGTTTCAGCTAGACCAGACTAAGGGTACGTCTAGACTACATGCCTCTGGCGACAGAGGCACGTAGATTAGACTACCCGGCATAGGAAAATGAAGCGGCGATTTAAATAATCGCCGCTTCATTTAAATTTACATGGCTGCCGCGCTGAGCGATCAGCTGTTTATCGGCTCAGCGCAGTAGTCTGGACGTTCCGCGGTCGACATCAAAGGCATTTGTCGACCTCCCAGGAGGCATACCTGGGAGGTCGACAAATGCCTTTGATGTCGACCGCGGAACGTCCAGACTACTGCGCTGAGCCGATAAACAGCTGATCGCTCAGCGCGGCAGCCATGTAAATTTAAATGAAGCGGCGATTATTTAAATCGCCGCTTCATTTTCCTATGCCGGGTAGTCTAATCTACGTGCCTCTGTCGCCAGAGGCATGTAGTCTAGACGTACCCTTAG